TGTGTATATATACACACACACACATATGTCTCTATATATATTTTTTATATATATATATATATCATTAACAGTAGAGTTGGTTTTTACTTATAGCTAAAACCTGCAGAGTTATATTTCCTAATCTCTTTCAAGTGCATAGAAGAAATGAAACATGAAGCCAAACCCATTAAGATTGACAGAAGACTGACGGGTGCAAATATAATTGATGAGCCTTTGCAACAGGTAAGTTCTAACCAGGACTATTTAACCTATTTTTATTTTTGCAAGTATTGACATGTAATATGTAAGTAGTTAGCCGAGAGAAAAATAGAAGTTGAGAAATTTTTTCATAATTGAGTGGTAAATGAAAAATCATTGAGGATGAGCCAGGATACTGGGCAATGTTTAAGTCTGTTTTCTGTATGTTATAGCATCTCAGCATAGTAGTGATGAATGGATGCAAACTGATGTGAGAAAGAGGGTTCAGTATGTGAGTTGCATTGGTTCACTCACAATTTCATGATAGTATGGTTCACTGTGTTAACCTTTTAAGAAGACTGCTGCTACATTGAGGCACAAAAAGCTATTTTATAGTTTGTTGTCTTCTGTTTGTTCATCTTTATTTTTTCCTTTCCATTTTCAGGTAATACAGTTTTCCCTGAGAGACTACGTGCAGTACTGGTATTACACACTAAGTGACGATGAATCGTTTCTTCTGGAAATCAGGCAGGCTCTTCAGTATGCACTTGTTCAGTTTTCTGCCAGGTAAGATTATTTGCATTTACCTTAATACACTGTCTAAGCAAGTGGTCAGATACCTCTGTGGGTTGCATGTTGGTAGATAGGTGATGAGGTTTCTGTGTTGGCACAGCTCAGTGCACCTTACGAAAAGAACATGTAAAATGTCAAGATCATCATCTAAGAACTTCAGTCTTTTGATCCCTTAGGGAATGAATGGAGGTGGTGTTTGTAGTCATTGTCTGTTGCAAAATGTCCTTTTCAAAATTGAGATTAATGTGTAAAATTACTGAATAGCTTTTTTTCTGCAACTTCAGCATTGAGTTGCATGAATCAGCACCTTTTTATGTCCAGGTCCACTCATATAAACAGCGGGACTATTCCCAAGGTAAATTGGTCTCAAAGCCTTTAATTCAAACATCTGTATCAGCTCAAATAACTTTTAAAAGTGGCATTACTCTTATGTGTGTAAGAAAAAGGAGGATTTTCAAATGAATGATAGTCTGGGCGACAAAATGATGTGTCTCATAGGTAACTTTTTTTTAAAACAGGGTTGATTTGTAACAAATGGGTAGTTTAATTGTTCCATCTTTTTTTCTGCTGTTCCTTATTCAAGTACCAGGCAGTCAGGGAACTTGTGTGGGAAGCTATCTTCTTCAGTATGGCTCATTTTTCAGCCCAGGTACCATATGTCTTTTCAAGTGTTGATGCCACTGTGATGATTGTTACCTGTTTTCTCTTCAGAAGAGGTTGTGGGTCATCTAAATGTAATAAACTTCTTAGCAATTTTGAGGTGTTGTTACCCCTTATCTGTTGAGCTGAAAATGTAGGTTAGTGTGCTTTTCTGGTAAGAGAGGTCAAAGAGCTAGCTTTAATTCTAGGAATAATTAATTATAATAAAACCTCACGATTTTTCAAATAATGGAAATACTAGGAAACAGTGCTGGAAATAGTGAAAACAAGGCTAGGTAAACTGTCTGTTACAGCAGGTAATCCTGTGCTCACATCAAAGGGATCTGGCTGCCCAACTTTAGTGTCTTGGTGTATTTGGTGAAGTTATTTCATTGAATGTTATGAAGCACTGGGTTTGTGTCCAAGAAAGTTAAGTTATAGCAAATTTTTTTTTTCCTACAGTACCATATCTCTTCAAAAATAGCCACCATCCCTGTGCAGTTGTGTTCTGTACAAATCAAATCAGTTTCCCAGGGCTGCAGTTGCTGCTCTTGTTATTAAGAGAAAGTGATGTAGTGTATTTATGACTATAGTTGGATATAGCTTTAGCAGTCTCAGATTAGTACTCTCTTCTCTAATTTCATATATCCTGTGAGCTTCTGGAGAGAATGAGTACAGTGGGATTTCTTTTTTTCCGATAGTTGCATACTTGGGAGAATAATGTAAGGCTGCCACCTGGTGGGTTTGTGTGGTTTATTCATTGTGCAGATGAATTCGGATTACTGATGGGTTTTGACTGCCCTTTGAGAGAGCTCTGCTTCTTTTTTCCACATGAAGATTTTGCAGTAGGCTTCCCTCTCTTCCTGAATTCCTTATCCCATTCTCCCTCTGTGGGGGAAGAAAGAGCAGGTGAGGGAGCAAACACAAATAGGAAGCATTGTGGAGGGATTTTGCTATAGCAAAGTCGGTATCTCGGAGAATTCAGGTAGTAGAATACTTAAGGCAGAGTAAAAGCCATTGCTAATATCTAGCTTCATGAAGCTTGTAATGGACAAGTGACTTTTCAGTATGGCTAGTAAGGCACAGATATCTTAAGAATGTACATGCACCTTTTTCGTACCACTAAGGAAATAGTTTTATGCAAATGTAACAGTGGCTCTTTTCTGATTCTAACCTATGTGCATTGTTGGAGATGTGAGCTAATTACCTCCCGTATAAGCTGTGGAATCAGTTGTGGATGATATTAGGTCTCTTGTAGTTTAAAGTGAGATGTGTTTTTTCTTATGCATATACTGCAAATTAAGACAAATTGTTTTGTTTAGGTGCTTTCAAAAATGGTAGACAGCATGGCTGAAAAAGACCCAGGGAGTCTTTTAGTTTTAGATTGTAGACTGTTTATATCAGGAGCTTTCACAGATATTTGACAGTGTCATGAGTCAGAATGCTACTCCAGATACTAATGTTGACTTTAAAGTAATTCAATCATAAGTATTCATGTGGTCTGAGAGTGATATTTTACAATATTTGTTTTTTGTGGATAGGCAATTAGGAAGCTGATTTATTTCTTTGCTTTTTCATGTTTACTATCAGTATGGTTTTTGGGAGAGTTGAAGGAAGAGTATAAGTTTGTTTTCTTCTTTGTGTTCAGGATAAAAATACATTTTCATGGATGTCCTTTTCTGATAGGTCAAAGGAAACTGACTGGCAGCCTTACTTCACTACACGACTTGTTGATGACTTTGGCACTCATCTTCGAGTTTTCAGAAAAGCTCAGCAAAGAATAGCAGAGAAAGGTGATCAGATGAAAGGTAATAATTTAAATATTTGAGTCTAAATAGGCAGGTATCTTATATGTGTGGAATATAGGTAGCTTTATTTTATAACTGAAGTTTACTCTCAAGTTTCTAGTATTTATTAAAAAATGTTTCTTTTTATTTTTGTATAGACCAAGCTGAGGAACTTGTAGATACATTCTTTGAGGTTGAAGTTGAAATGGAAAAAGAAGTCTGTCGTGATCTAGTCTGCACGTCTCCCAAAGATGAAGAAGGTCTCTCAGTATTATCTTCTGAAGTTATTTTAATATAGCAGACTAAATTTAAAACACTAGCGGTTGTGTTCACAATATGAAATACGCCGAGTTCTTAGCTCGTGACCTTGCAAACTGTGATTTACTATACATGTATCTTTCCTCCAGTTTGTACATACTAATGGTATAGGTATAATGAGGTATGAACATAGCTATTTGTCTTTTCATTAGGAGAATTTTCAAACAGAAATGTTTTCTGGGAGACAGAAGATGGCTTTGCAGATTCTTACTGCTTTTTGTTAGGTCTGCTTTCTTTATCACTACTCCATAGCCTTTGTTCAAAAAATCATTTTATCTGTTTAGAAGAAGTATGAAGCAAACTGGGGGTGGGGGGAACCAACTGTACATCTTAAATAAAGAAAACATGTTGAAGTTGTGTGTGATTTTTTTTTTTTTTTTTTTTCCCCTTGGAATTTTTTTTTTGCCTTGGTTTTGAGACTGTCTTAGATGGGTTAACATCACTGCTGCTTATGTTCAGTTTGAAAGACGTTACTGTGCTGCTTGGACTATAAGAATATATATGACTACATCTTTATTTGCATTAAATCTTAAGGATATATCTGTTTTTTTTATTATAGCAGGTAAGATGTGACATGATACGAAGTTGTGCTGAAGGTTTTTTGTTCTATCTCCCTAGGATTCCTAAGGGATCTGTGTGAGGTTTTACTGTATATTTTGCTACCTCCTGGAGACTTCCAGAACAAGATCATGCGATACTTTGTCAGGGTAAGTACAAACGCAAAGGGCTATCCCAATGCTTTGGTTTAATGTCATAAAACAAATTTAGTAGGTTACTTTAAATGCAGTACAAGTTGTTAAGTGTTTAATAGCAGAGAACAGTTTCTGAAATGTTGGCAAAGTTTTTTTTACCTCTAACAGCACTAGAAAAGTGTGATGAAATGGATGTTGTTTTTCTTGAGGTATCGGTATCTTCTAATGTTAATTGGAAGGGAATATGCTAGTGCCTACTGATTATGTTCTCTAATTACATGTTTTTTATTTAGCCTTTATGTTGATTTTTTATTTGTTGCAGTTATATTAGGTTTATAATTATATAAAAAGATTTATTGTAATTTGTTTTTTCAGGAAATCCTCTCCCGAGGAATTCTTCTTCCATTAATAAACCAGCTCAGTGATCCTGATTATATTAATCAGTATGTCATATGGATGGTAAGACTTGTAATGTTTAAAATTAATGGTATTTCCAGGATACTTTCTTAAAAAGCTTTAGTTGTATTCCTTGAAATCATGGCAGATGCAAAAGTTACCAATGGATATATTGGCAGAGATAGTGAATTTAGGGCTGCTGTAATATTTATATTTTTATATATGTATGTACACACACATGTTCATGCTCTCTCGGTACTCTGTGTGGTGGTTGTTTGGCAAAAGTTGTCTGACTGAGAACAGAAGTGTAAAGTTGAGTCCTATGACTGTTTTACTTAGCTCTTCAGGAAGTTTGTATATAACCTTGGAAGTTTTTCCTGTGACCATTTTTAGGATGTGTCTTTTAAAGCTTAGGAGACCTCCAGAATGAGAAGTAGTAAGATTGGAAGTTTTTTTTTCTTTTGCAAAGGAATGTCAGGGTTATTTGTTTAGGGGTATTTGTGGTAACCCTTAATAAATTGAGTGGGATGGAACAAAGTCTTTACTTTGCTATTTCTTTAATGCACCTGAAAAAGAAAAAGAAAAGAAAACAAAACCCAAACAATCTTTTAAAAGCAGTAATACATAGTAAAATTTACATAAAGAGAATAGTCAGACTTCAATGTTATTGATCTTTTTGCAAAGCAAGTTAAAACTTGCTTTTGTAGTTTACTAACCATACAGGTCACAAATCAAGTTTATATTTTTTTCTCCTTTCCCCAAGTTCTTTTTACTTCTATTAATATATTTTAGTCTTACAGTGCACGTTCAAGCACTATGCTGAAATCACCCTTGGATTTCAGAGTAAAAGCTCTTATGCTTGGATTGCAAGTGTGTACACAATGTTTCCTTCACTCCAGACACCTCCATTTCATGTAACAGTTTGCATGCTGCTTTTCTACAGGAACCTAGCTTTCATAAAAAATGCTGCTGCTCCTATGGACCAAGCTTTTCAATTTTTGTTTCCCCTTTCCTCCTACGTATGTTCTTAATTTGTAACTTGGCCTCATTCTTTATTTACTGAGTACTGCCCCCAGCTGCATCCAAAGATAGATTTCTGAGGGTTTTATACAGCTTTCTGTTATGATGGTCATGTCCCAAATATTAATTTTCATAATTGCTTTCTGAGATGAGTAAGTAAATGGGCTGGGGGAAAGATAAGGAAGAGTAAATGCTTTAAAGATTTTAATATGGGTCTTATATAAAGAAGATTGTTGCAGAAATTAAGGGCAAAAGTAGACATGACTAAAATAAGTTCTGTCTTTTTTTTGAGCCTTTGACATAAAACTAAATTTGAATGAAAAAAATCAACTTCTGACAATGAGAAGTGTAATTCCATGTTTTCAGGTACACCACAGTTCAATAGTAATTCTGCAGTAAAATACAAAGCCTCGATATAAAATTAGAAGTTAATCTAAACTTGACTCTCTTCACTGTGAAATTTAAGTTTTAACAAAATGTAAAGGTTTTTACATTAAAAGATCAAGGATTGCTTGTACTGTCACTTTTAAAAGCAGATGTCTAGGAAGATTTTTCATTTACTTTACTCAGAAGTACCCAGTCTTCATTCTCTCTATGTGCAACTCACATCCTGCACTTTTGCAGTACAAAGTATTATATTTCCATGTCCAAGTGAGGGTTTGTGAAAGGTGGAGGTGAAGTGACTTTTTTTACTCTTGGTTGGTAAAGACAATGTTACAACTCAATCCTCTGCAGCTTTGTGTGCATGCTGTAAAGCTGCCAACCTTCCCATGATATCCACACTGCAGTCAGGACAGCTTCCAGTGACCTGGGCAGCACAGCAGGCTTTCTTCACTTGCACAAATTCCTTTGAGTCCCTAGAACAGGTTCACCCTATGCCAATACTGGGAAAGATTAGTAGTATTTACAAGGATATCTGAATTAGGGTTTTGGAGAGGATATTAATTCGGTCATTTCCTTCCCTCGCCCCCTGTAGGTTATGAATAAACTGTAGAATGCTTTAATTCTTTTTGTAGTTCTGTTTCTTGAGAAGCCATTACATTGGGAGCATATACACTTGGAGGGAACCATGGCAGAGCTGAAAGCTTTTCAGTGGTCTCACCATTTTCTGCCTACTTAGCTAAGAAGATGGGTAATAGCAGAAGGTGGTTCATTGGGTTTTGGACAAGATCTTCATTAAGTAGGTTGATGGACTTTTCATGTCTGTTTCTGTTTTCCAGAAGTACAACAATGATGTTGTGAAATAGCTTTTTGACTGTGTGCCTGCTGCTTCTTTCTTGGTCCATGTCAAATTTTAGTCTCAAAAATAAGGTTTAGAAGTATTAGAATGTTTTCAAAATGCTACTTTGCAGTGCTGTGTCAAAATAATTCAGTTAATGAAAATTCAGGCAATGTGCTTTTAGCTGTTTTGCATTATTCACACTATAAAACTTCCTGTTTCAGATTCGTGATTCCAACTGTAACTATGAGGCCTTTATGAATATTATTAAATTAAGTGATAATATAGGGGAGTTGGAAGCAGTGAAAGATAAAGCAAGTGAAGAACTGCAGTATCTTCGATCTCTAGATACAGCGGGAGATGGTTAGTGCTATATTGTTTTACAAAATGTGAAATGCATTTACCAGCATGATCTTTAAGAATATTCCTAAAATTTAGAAAGTAGAACCCTTGTTGCAGCATAGTAGAAAATATTTTTATTGGAAAAATGTGGAGTGTTAAACTTGAATCTTCAGAAGTGGGGTTTGGTTTTGTTTTTAAATATAGACTAATTGGTTAAGTATGTGTACTTCCATTGAACTGAAACTTGCCTGACTGGTGGTTCAGAATTTCAGTAATACTTCAGTAATAATTAATGGGTAGTCAGCTAACAGTTAATCTGGAAAAGGAAAAAGAAAAGTATTTCTTCTTGTTCACTTCCATCAGTAAGATATTTAAACTGAAAAACCCCTTCTCTTCAGAGCTTATGTATTTTTATGTTGTATTTCACTTTTTGAATTATATTTTTATAGTATTTCAGAGCAGGAGTTTATTCATCTTCATTGCTGACTCTTTGTTTTTGCTTTCAGATATCAACACTATAAAAAATCAAATAAACAGTTTATTGTATGTTATTAAAGTATGTGATTCAAGAATTCAGAGGTTGCAGTCAGGAAAAGTAAGTGGTTTAGACTTTTTTTTTTGTTCAAAAAGAGTGCAATTGCAAATGATGTACTAGTTCAGTCTACATTTGATTCTGTGTTTTGAAACAAGTTGAAGTATGTAGTCATAGGAATACATTGTACCACTGAAGTTAGCCTTATATTTGCACTTAAAGTATTGAAAAAAATTCTGAAGGTCCACATGTATAGACTTAATTGGCATTCTGGCTTTAGCACCTTAGATACATCAGTACAGTACATCTTAAAACTACTCTTACCTTCTCAATTCAAGAGTTAAACCAAAATGTTACATAGACGTAAAGCATCTTTGTACTCGTACACCTAGATTCAGTTTGTCTGCTCTAGTGCATACCTTGTGTGCCATGAGCTTAGTCTTTGGCAAAGATCTTTTTCTTGCCGACTGCTGATTCTTTTGCAATGTCTTGTAGATGCCTCCATGTTAGACATGCCTTTTGTTAGACATATTTACATCTTTAGTTCACTAAGGGAAACTAGATGTTAAATTTGGGAACCTCATACTGTTTGCTTTATATTTTTTTTTTATATTTTTAAGGCTGACAGACTTGGTCTGTTTGACTTTGCTTAGTTTCTTACTCTTAATTGTCCCTAGATGTGGCTCCAAGATAATGTAATCTTGTGCATATTAACTGCTAAAAATACTGTTCTGTAGCTGGACCCAGAAACATTACTGTAATAGTAAGAAATGTCATATTGACAGAAGAAAGTTGGGCAGAGGTGAATTTAGGTTTTGGTGACCTGTCCTCCATTGAATGTTGAAATTGGTTCATCTTGTTAATTCATTTTCATGCCATTGTCAGTGTTTTTGAGGAGTTTGGAGTTAATTTGACCTATGTAGTATCACAGGAATGGCAGTGTTGGAAGCTAGCTGCCCATGTGGCAGGAATCATCCGTGTTGAAGGCAAATAGTTAGGAGAACATGACCTCATGATCCACATCTTCAATCTGCATTTGTTAGAAATTGTGAAAATAACCAACTATAGAGAGCCTGCTTTACTATTGACAACATAAATTATTTTTATCACGTCTGCTTTGTGGTAAGTAGAACGTGTGAAAACTGATTAGAAATATAAAGCCTATGAACAGACTGAACTTCTTCCTACAGGAAATAGATACTGTGAAACTGGCAGCAAACTTTGGAAAACTTTGCACAGTCCCTCTGGACCATATTCTAGTAGACAATGTTGCACTACAATTTTTTATGGGTAAGTGAATTTATCTGATATTTATTAAAAATATGCTAACTCATAGGACTGTACACTTGAAATCACTAAATATGTATACTGAGAGCTAAATGTACATAAGCCCCTTGCCTGAGGGAACCAAAACCTTGTTTGCAAATCAATCTGTAGCTAACACTTCAGAACACTGCACTTAGTACTTTGAAAAGCTTGTACCAAGCTTGTTTACATAGAATCATAGAATTGTCAGGGTTGGAAGGGACCTGAAAGATCATCAAGTTCCAGCCCCATCTCCCACTAGATCAAGTTGTTCAGAGCTCCATCCAGCCTGGCCTTAAACTTCCAGGGATGGGGCTTCCAACACCTCCCTGGGCAACCTGTTCCAGTGTCTTACCACACTCATGGTGAAGAACTTCTTCCTAATGTCTAATCTGTATCTACCTACTTCCAGTTTTGCTCCATTCCCCCTAGTCTTATCACTACCTAACATCCTCAAAAGTCCCTCACCAGCTTTCCTGTAGGCCCCCTTAAGGTACTGGAAGACCACAATAAGGTCCCCTTGGAGCCTTCTCTTCTCCAGACTGAACAGCCCCAACTCTGTCTGTCTTCATAGCAATCATAGAATCCTTTAGGTTGGA